CCTTAGTCATTTTCAAAGGTAGGGCGTCACCTTCTTTGTTTGAACCATCTTCAGACGTCAATCCACAACGGCCAAGAAAACGATCCATCGGTCCACGAGGGTTTGGTCCAGTGCCTAAAACAACATCATTTGGAGCACCAAAGTATGCTCCTGAATCAACCATCTCATCAAAATACTTCTGCTTAATGTGTTTTTGTTCTGCATAACATTTTAGAAGTGCTAACATTTCCTTCCTCACTGGATCAGAAACCTTTGGACATGGCGCAGAATTTTTACGAGTTCCAACAAGATGGTCTTTTAACCTGCTTATACCACTAGTGATAACATTGTTGCAATGATGGCATTTGACATACACATAACCACTTTTTCCATTAGGAGGATTAACTCTTGTTCCATGCGCCCAAGCAGGATCCTTCGACTCCTTTTTAGAACTAGAACTTTGCCCTTGCTCAATGCGCGATTTAACCATGATGTTGGAATCTAAAGCAGTAATATACAAAAAATTAGGTAATTCACAACCAAAACACTAAAAAAGTTTATATAAAACCAAACTATATGTAAAAAATTAATTTTAAAGTAATTATAAATTATAATATAAACAATTTAATAATGAAAAATCTTAAAATTATTCAAGCTGCTGGAATTTTGGAAAATAAAATTACCAGAGTAAAAAAAAAGTTAAAACAAATCTTCAAGAAATCATAAATTCGTACCTTAAGAGAGAAACGAGAATCTGAAGCCAAATTGCACAGAGAAACCCGCGACCAGAGAGAGAAGCAAGAGCGAAAGAGAGAGACGGTGAAAGAGAGAGAATCGGAAGCTGGACAGCCGTGCAATTGGAAATTTGGAACTTAAGAGTTTATTTATTTTTATTTAAGTAGTGGTTTCTGCCTAACTTTTTCAAAGGGGCCAACTATTTGAAGGCCCAATAACTTATACGGACTATATTTCAAGGCGTACGCCTCGTTTCCGCCTCAGCGCCTTACCGCCTCGAACCGCCTCAATAAATCAAGGCGTACGCCTCGCGGAAATCATCTGGTGCGAACGCCTCTGGGGCAAAAAACTACCGCCTCAGCGCCTTACCGCCTCAGGGCGGACCGCCTTTTTCGCCTTTTAAAACCATGAGTAGAATTAAGACTACATACATGGATGAGTGACACATTTCAAAAAAAAATTAAAATCAAAGCCTAGAATTGTAAATTTGAGTTCAAATAGTTTAAGAATATAATGTCATAAGATAAACAGAAGCTAATCTTCACATACACACACCAACCAACCTAAACGATGGACAAAGATGAGCGCAATATGCTTGGCTTTACTTAATTTATATCAAACAAAGTTGGTGGCAATCTTCAAGATCTATAAAGGATAAGATCATTATGAAGGAATTAAGCCAACAAATTGCCCACGAAGATCTCATTACACATACTGGCCCCCCAAGTGGATATTAAGTTTAGTGTACCTCATTATGCACCTTTCTCGTGTTTAAAATTTTATGCAACAATAAAAATATGTATTTTCAAAACTCAATCACAATTTTATTTCACACAAAAAAAACCATGCTTAAAGTTCACGATTTGGTAATCACATTCATTTATAGTGGGTGTCTAAAATTCAGTTTACTCCTCAAAATTAAATATGTATTTGTTTTCAACAGACCCCATAGCATAGCAACTCATACATCCATGTTTAGATAAGATGTAAATACAGACCCATAATGCTCATCTCCATCTCTACCAGCTCATTCATCCATGTTTCTTTATCTTATTTTTTTCTTTGAAGATAGAAAATACTGTCAAATGGAATTAAAAATCACTATCCTCTTGGATCTTTCGTGAACCTTAAAACTTTAGCTTTAATTTTTAAAAATCATTCTTTCATTAAATTGGGATGTAAACCGGAAAAAAAAGACCAGTGGTAAATTTAACCCTTTGCAGTGGTTGAACGACCTACAGTGGATACGGCAAACCCTTTGGGCGAGAAAAGATGGCCAGCGATTTCTGCTTCTTTGAGTATACGGAGTACTGGAGTAGTATATAGATAAAGCTAAACTAAAGCATATATATACTTCAAGATCTATATGTCAAATTTCAGGAAGAAATCTGAACTTCTTTATATGATCCAATCCCCAAAATAATAAAAAAATATGTAACACGTAGTAAAAAGAATCAAGATCTAATTTAATAATCTAGAATAAATTAATTAATTAAATAATAACAACAACAACCCAGTTGAATCTTGCAAAATAAATAAATAAATAAATAAATAAATAAATAAATATATAAATAAAGTACCTAGAGCTGCTGCAAAATTCATAGAGTTTTTCTCTATTTAAAGCAACCTTAGAATCACAAAATATAGAAAGCTCATAGGCCTTCTTCAGTGATCCATTTCTTCACTTTGCAAATGTCACCAGCATGTTTGGGACAAAAATACAGATAATTGAATCTCATAAATGATATTTTTGGTTATGAATTCCTTCCTAAAATATTACTCCGTATGTAGTAAGTAATAGGAGAAAATGTTGAGCAAACCTTTTTAAAATGTAAAATCGTAATACAAACCAAGGCATTTAACAATATAATAGATAGATTAGATTAATTCACATCTATCATTGACAGAGAATATAAAAGAGGAAGATTTAGCACAATGCATACCTTTCAGAGTAATTACACTGAACCTTACTGAATGGGGAAGAAGAACCTGCCAAGAGAAACGGCAATGGGAAATTAGGGGAAATGTTGGGAATTAATTGTGCTGTTTTAATGATCTCATTCTACCTGATCTAGGGGAAAATGTTGGGAAAGTGATGATCCTTCACCATTCATAGAATTTCTTTGATTTTCAGTGTTCACATTAATAAAATCAAAACTACTATCTAATTCAGATATGTAAAATGACCAAACAATTGTGATCTTATCATTGTCAATTCAATTTTCAAACAAATAAGGTGCAGATCAGATAAAATAGGAAACTTTCATCTAGTATTTTTTCATATAGGGACTCACCTTCCACGCAATCCTTGAACATCTGCTCGGACTCCTCGATTCGGCACTGCATCCTCATGACTTTTTGGGTGGCGCACTTACTACCTCCCCCGCGGAGGACCGGCTAGGGTTACCTGAGCCAATGTTGATGTAAAAGCCGGAAACTGATAAAACTGTCGCCATCGTCTTTCCAAACCCAACCTTCTCAGTGGTTAAATAAAGGAATTAGGGGAAAATGGGAATAATTTTGATTCCACATGGAAATTAGGGAAAAATGGAATTAACTGGATGCAATCATGCAACCCCCGACCTTATCAGCGGAATAATCCAGCAACTGTGGGAAATAATTAAAGAAGAAAAAGAACAGTTGAACTGGATGGAAGGCGGAACAAAAATAATTATGGAAGACGGAGAACAACAGTTGAAACGTAAGCTCTCGTGGCAGTCTAAACATCTTGCTGAATAGGAAAAATTCCATGTCATATGCCATGTCAGACGCCAAATGCCAACACCACAATTAATATATATATAGGGTGGTTTTAACAATTGACATACAGAAGATGCTCTAATTTGCAGCAGCTTTAAACGCAGCTTTTAAATACTCCGTACACAATAGCATCAAAAATCAAAATGGGTGAAATCAAAATACCATTCTAAAATTCATTAAAGATCAAGTTTCAGTAACATGATGCATTTTTTCATTTAAGATTGAGTCTAAACAACACATCTTTTGATAAGTCTATTTTGGGTAAAATCAAAACACAATTCTAAAATTCAAAACAACTCTCTTTTTTGGATGATTCAAAATGCCCTTCCTAGAAGCAGAGAAAGTGTGATGGAGTAAGAAGAGATTTACAAACTGGACTACTGAAGGTTGGAGGCCAGAGATGAAGTGTAGGATAGATTAGATTACCGGAGGTCGGAAGGAGAGACTTCGAAGCAGATGGTTTCCGTCGAGCTACTGCTGCTGCCTGGCGTAAGTCGGAGAATTCTCACAGTTGCTCTGTCTGTAATCTGTATCCGGTGAAGAGCCAAGCAGATCGAAATGGGGAAGGCACTTGTTATCCAATAAGGTTGAACAACATGCGGAGAATTATTCATCAGTCCATCGGTCCAGACCGAATTCTTATCGGGTTTGAACCGGACTGGACCGAAACCCGAAACCTGAAAAAGCTTGGACCTAAGACCAACCCTAAATCTACTTGATCCGGGTTCAGTTCGGACCTAACGGTCTGGTTCGGTTGGTTTTTTGGTCCTAACATAAACATGAACAGCCTTAATTTGTGCACTGCAGTTAAAAATATTTTTACCCCAGCCGTTTAAACAAAAAATGTCATTAAAACTTGGGAAGAAATGACTACAACCTCCAGCATAAGCTCATGTGGTTCCACAAATTTAAACATTGATTAAAAAGGGTGTAGTGTGCCTTAAAATTACAAAACCATGTGTAAGTTACCTAAACCTTCCGAGCCAAGGTTCGTTGTTTTGTTGCGTGTTGGACAACTTTTTCCTCCACAGGAAGACCCTTCCTCCGTCTCACATCATCAATAAGCTTTCTTGCTGTGTTGTGCAGGATGCTAGAGCCATCGCCAAACTCTTCCAACTCTTCTTCTGTCTTGGGTACAAAGAAAGGGTCTTCGGGAAGTTCTTCCCAATGGCTGAGGACAAGTAAAGCACTTGCAGCACCAGAAGTCCATCTCCTCAGTTCATCAGCAAACCCAATGCTCTGTTCAACTGGCAAGTATGCATGGACTGTGAACAATGGAGATCCCTCATGCATTTCTTCCTTGATGACCCTGGCTCGTCTCCGGGAAAGAACTGCATACATGGGGCCCAGAAACTCAGTTGGTGTGTTGAGCTCACAAAAATACATCCCTTCCACTAATCGAGGTTTCTTCTGAAGCACGGCTGCTCGGCAGGCATCCTTGACAGCTGTCATGACCTGTCCAGAGAAAATTCCATATTGGTCCACTTGGGGAACCGATGAGTCAGCATCAGTAGAATGCCCATTCTGTGGGTATATTAATGCCTCGATAGAGAACACCAGACCCCACATTGGTTCTTCACACAAAGGTCCAGCTGCAGTAGCTAGCTGAAAACCTGACATTACGCTGCTCTCGAGACTCTCTGCTTCTCTTGATAATGTTTGATCTGCATCTGATGATGGTTCACGTGGTGAAGTGCTATTGTCAGATGTACACAGAAAACCCAGTTTTTCAGATACATAAGGGAAGCCTTGGATGAGAACTGAGGAACCATCGCTGTTCTCCTTCACATCTGGTGTGAGAAGAATGTTAGGGCCAACTTGCCATGGTCCGAGAGCCCAAATCCTCTTAACAAACTTCTGCCATGTTTTTTGAAATTTTTCTATCCTGTCGGGTTCTGTTCCTGCGAATATAGTTGAAAAGTCAATCTCCACAGCATCCTTCATGCGTTTCTTGAGTGTTTCAATGGGATTCTCATCTTCGACGATCCTAGCTCCCAGGGTTTCCATGCTTTTACTAGCATGCAATGATTTACCTCCAATGATATCTCCAAGCACACTTGAACTTTCATCGAGTAACTTGGTTAATGCTGTTGGAAGCTTCATGACTCGCACTCGAACAACACATCTTCCATTTGGTGTGGTTTTCTCAATAACGTCAGGGCCATGGCTCAACAGTTTCAACTTTTCAAAAAGATTTGCTGTGTCACCTTCGATGGTCTCCCTGTATGAGACAAGAGGTTTCGAGACTTGCAAACTGACCTTTGCAAATCTCTCCTCCAAATCTTTAATGCATCTCTGAAGATGGACCTCTCCTGCTGCAGAAAGCACATGTTCTCCTCTAGCAGAAACAGTAACCTCAACAAACGGATCCGCACGGTTTAGAAGCTTCAATCCCTTCATGAGTGCACCCATTTCAGCAGGATCAGACGGCTCAACTGCAACCTTAAGAGTGGGCGCAACCTGGAAAATCATACTCGATAATGGCCAGCAGTGTAGCGTAGATGAAAGGGTGGCACTCTTCAAAATGTGTTGGCCAAGACCTCTAATAGCAATAACATTCCCTGCCTTGGCCGAAGCCACTGGTTTCAACCCTTGGCCCATCATTAAATATAAGCCATGCAACTCGGCCTCCTGGACATGTTTCTGCACCGACTCAGACTTCAATGGATCATAGAGAGCAGAAAGAACAAATATCTTCTGCCCGGAGTGAATAACACCACTAAAGATCCTGGCAAATGCTAGAAAACATTCTTCCAAATTGTCGTTTTCACTGTCATAAATAATCTCTCCGCGAGGAAGCATTTTAGATGGAACAGCAAACATCTTTGCCACACATGCAATGCAAGGTGCCTCATCGCTGGAATTACAGGTCTCAACAAATTTCCTTACAAGTTCTGCTTGAGAAATAACATCAGAGCTACCCCTGCTCTCTTCTCTCTTTGGAAGCAATCGAGATATTCGAAAAGACTGAGCAGAAGCCGGGTCAGGCATGCATTTAATGACCATTGACAATACTGTGTCAGCTAAGGGAAGCCAGCGGCTCATAACTGATTGAAGCACTGCTTTTGGATCCCTATGCTGAAGTTCGCGAGAAGGTATGGACAAATTGAATGACTTGATAACTTTCTCAAGCATCCTCTTACCACCATCTGCTTCCAGGGAAGCTTGATAAACCTGCCACAGTGGCTCAAGCACAAATTGCACAAACATTGGCCGAGCTTTGGTTCCACTACTAACCCCCTTCTTGCCTACAATCATCTTGGTCTTGGCGTTATAATACCTGGGACCCCACAATGCCTTTCGTAATACAGATGAACTTGCACCAAGTTTTGAGGCGTAAAATTCAGCAAAATCACTAATACTAAAGCCCCACCCATCAAGTGCGCATACAAACACTACATTACCCTTCTGGGGTTGAAAAGTATCCTCTTCATCATCCTCCATAAACTCAAAACTTTCTTCATTCATATCTCCAGTTTGAACAGACAGAAGTGAATCAACATCTGACAAATACTTCTCAGCCTTGTACGCACTCACAATACCATTCACGTCATGAACAATTCTCTGCAGACGTGTATGTGCCTCCATAGGACTCATTTTCAATTCTGAAATCAACCTATCAATTTTATTCAAGACCAAGCATGGTGTAAGCTTCTCAATCCACGCTTGGCGCAAAACGGCATGGGTCTGAATATGAACACCCTCTACTGCATCCACCAATACTAAAGCTCCATCACTCAATCGGGCAGCAGTGGAAACCTCACTGCAAAAGTCCATGTGTCCAGGAGAGTCTATAAGATTGATACAGTGATCCTGATATTGAAGAGCAATGGAAGAACTTTTCATTGTTATAGCTCGCCTCTGCTCCTCATCCAAGAAATCCATAAACCTAAGCCTGCCTGCCTGCTTCGGGTGAAGTACTCCTCCTCCGGATGAAGCAATCAAGTGGTCCGCCAATGTGGTCTTACCATGATCCACATGTGCAAGAATGCATATATTTCGGAGCTTTCG